TAAGGGAGAGGTGTAGGCGATCACTTCGAACTTGTATGCGCCATCTTGGACCCCCGGTGAAACCAATGTAAGGGCGATTCATCTCCAAGCCCAAATGAAGGTACCCAAGACTCCGACGGGTACCAATGGTAGCTTGCGGGGCTGATTGAGCAGAAGTGTCTTAGCCGATAAACCATGTGCTCTGTCGGCCTAATGCTTGTCCTTGGGCGCGCCAGTGTCGAGGCCGTAGCACCCATTCACGGAGGGCCGTTGGGTATGGCAGCTATGCCATCATTCTTGCATCCACCCCGTATCCCGTACTGGGGATAGGCAAGACTCTGCAGCATTGTCTGCCAGTAGGGCGATTAGCACGAATTCTGGATATTGCTTCGTAACTCACCTTTCAGGAGCTAGTGCTGACTGGTGGTTGATCCTCCCCAGAAGCGTATGTGAATGTACTCCGCCCCAGCCCGCTCCGAATAGACTTGGATACGACTTGCGTATAATTCAGGCACCGGCACCGGCCCCGGCGGCAACGCACCCCCCCCCCCCCCCGAACCGCGACGACTTTTTCTCTCCGGCTCGTGCTCGGGCTTGGCACCATTCTCCATTTTGGTTAAGTGACACGCAAGACGGTCACCAGTCGGTACTCTTATATAAAGAGTTAATCCCTCCTCCTAGTATTTATCCTATCCACAGTTTGGCTGCTATAACTAGGATACTAAAACGTCGTCCTATATTTGCCTCCCTGCTCTTTGTTTCATATTCCAGGCTCCTCCTCTTAATACTGCACTCTTTACCCCGTAACCATGGCCGACAAGTCTTACCTGGGGCAGCCGGAGCTCCACACCAGGGCTGAGCATCGGGCAGCCCTCCTCACATACCCGGGGAACCTGCAAGAGGCCTTTCGCCAGGCCCAGGCAGATCCCAAGAAGACATTGCTTGGTGCTTCCCAGGGAATACCCAGTACTTTTGTGACGAAGGTGAGCTAACTGGTTGCTTTCCCCTAGCCTCTTCCTCCCTTTATCATGGCTAGCTAACCCAACATGGCAGGTGATAGCTTCTGCGAAACCGGACTTCATCTGGTTCGACGTGGAGCACGGTATCTATGATCGCTCCACCCTCTACAAGTAAGCCAGTCCTTGACCACTCCTACAATATGACAATCACGAGACGTCGCTACTTCCTTTCTTCTTCTTATTCATTTTACTAATCTAGTCTATCAGCTCTATCCATGCCGCCCAACACCACTCCGAGGGCAGAACGATGGCCCTCGTCCGAGTTCCCGCTCACGACGAGATTAGCTTGGCGACGGCGCTAGACGCAGGTGCCTCGGGGATAATATTTCCAAACATGCAGACAGTGGAAGACGTAAGAGACATGATCAAGAAAGTCTACTACCGTGCGTTACCACTATCACCGCCCTCCCTCTTCTTTTCCCAGGTTGAAAAGGAAAGCCCTAGCTAAAGTTACAATCCACAGCTCCTATTGGGAACCGGGGGTTCAGCCCCTGGGTGTTCACACCGGGCATCTCGGATGCCTCACTATACTCGGAGGACCTATTTAACATGAAGAGCTCGAATAAGCACGTCTGTATCATCCCGCAGATCGAGAGTATCAAGGGCATGGCAAACATAGAGGACATCGCGGCTATTCCAGAGGTCTCCGCATTGATGTTCGGACCGGGAGACTACAGCGCAGATGCTGGCCTCGATCTCACAGTGAACGGAGCGCCGCATCCCGATCTTCTGGCCGCCATCACGAAGTTCATCGCCACGGGCAAGAAGTATAACAAACCATTGCTGGGGTAAGTCTCACAGTGAAGCTTAAGGAAAAGGGGGGGCGGGTGGGCCGGGGATGAGAGCGCTGATGTCTAACATCTTATATAGTACCGCCCACTCCCCAGCGGCCGTCGAGATGATGCTTGCGAGTGGATATACGGCCGTTTCCGTTTTGTTTGATGCCTGGTCACTTGCAGGAGCCGTTAATGACGGTATGAGGGCGGCCAGAGACATCCTAGAGAAGGATAATAAGGAGGGTACGACCGAACTTGTGAACGGAAAAGCACCTCACTCGTAGAACTCACCCGCGGGCGATATTCTGACACTCTAACACACCTCCGGCCTATTACTGTAGAATTTAACAGCACTTATGGCTGTATGGGGTCACATTATAATGCAATATAGACAGCCGGGTGCTTTATGATCGGGTATATTAGCGAGCTGGTATGCCATGTTAAAAAAGAGTTAAATGCTGAAACAGGCCTGCAATCATTCGAGCTGCACATCTTTGTACGGATAATTCCGAGGTAAACAATGCTATGGTATTCGTAACATGTACTATCCGACTCCAAAATGCATAGCTTCCCGTTACGAGCCTCTCCTTCCTGCCCTTCCGGTCCAAGTCCCTAATTTACAATGGCCAAATCCTCCGATCTGGACTTGCTGTTGGGATCTAGGTAAGGCTTCTCGCCGATGCCGACCGCACGGTGGCCGAACCTCTCCCCTAGGCCCTCGTAGTCGAAGGTGGCACTATGGAAGACGCTGCGGTTGTCCCAGATAGCTATTGGGAAATCATTAGTGAACCTGACTCGTAGCACAATACAAGTGCGGGGGAGAGAGGAAGGTAAATCTCACCGATGTCGTTCTTGTTCCTCCACTTGAACCTGACCTGAAGGTCGTGGTTCTCAGTAATCACGGTACGGAACTTTGTCAGGAGCTCATCGGACTCCCGCGGCTCCAGCTCGTTGATGTACCTCGGGAACGGCCCAATGGCGAAGATGCTCTTCCATCCAGTCACAGGGTTCGTCCGAACCACAGGATGGACCGCCGTCAGCTCCCCGCCGACGTTTAGCGGGCTCCCGCGCGCTTCCACGTAGAGCTTCGCTTCGGCAGGGTTCCGATCGTGTGCCTTGAGGAAGCCCTCGCCGATGAAGGTGGCGGTCAGGCCCTCGAAGAACTCCTGGTACTTTCGAGAGAAGCGATCATATATCTCGTAGCCCGAGGCCCAGAGCGTGTCGCCGCCAGTGCTAGGTAGCTGGGTTAGACGTAGGGAAGTGTAATCCGCGGGCATGGGCTCGAACTGGATGTCCGAGTGCCACTCAGCGGAGTCGTAACGCCGCTTGTCGGGAACGCGGTTGTTTTCCAAGAAGAGCTTCTTGCGGCCGAGCGAGCTGATGGTGCTGATCTGGGCGTCTGTACCACCAAACTCGTTCGTATTGTTAAGGATTGGGTGGATGTGTAGCGTAGAGTCCGCAGATTTTCCGGTTGACAGGCCCAAATTCTGGATTAGCTGCTTTTGTAGCTCGTCGGTGAGGTTATCCTGGGCTCGGAAGAAGACGACACCGCGTTGTGAAACTGTGGTGTGCAGGTCAGAACATGTGAAATCGAGGAAGCCGGTTGTATAGGAGGTGGGTTAAGTAGTACTCGTAATGGCAAGGTCCCTCAGCCGCGCGTCCGCATCGGGAGCATTTAGGACATCATTGACGATGTTAAGGGTAGGGTACTCGCGCCCAATGACCGGCGTGGTCTCCTCAAACGCGAACTGGTTTAGGGTTCCGGTACTCGTTAGAGGTGTGGGGTAGTGTGAACCTTTAACGTCCTTCTCCGCACTGCGAACTGGCAGCGCCTCTATGGGGGCATCCGAGGTGATTCCGGGAGCCATGATGTCTGTGGTTGGTGCGATGATTATAAAATGGTACGAATTTAAAGTTACGGATCTGATTCGATAACGGAGGCGCGGAATACTATAATCAAACAAGATGTAGAATAGGAAGATGATATGCGAATAGGAAGACAATATGCAAAAAGGAATGTAAAACGCTGATCAATATACAAAACGAGCAAGAAGGAGATTCTGTAGGAATTATATATATATATCCCCCCTCTCTCTTGTAGTTGCTTCTCAATGAGGTTCGTTTATCGAGGCCGAGAGCCGAGAGCCGAGAGCCGATAGACGATCAGAGAGTATAAGTGGGCAGATGGTATCACGCAATTGCGGGTAGAAGACGCGCAACTGTGAACTAACTGCCTATTCCAGATATATGATGGGAGGGGAATATGTTGATGGATCCTGTCATCACAGGTTTCGTCTGTGGGGGGTACTACCGTGAATCGGGGCGACGAGATCTTGGCCGGGACATGAGGTTGAAGCTAGAGACCCATTCTGAGTCCACTGTTGCGGGCGCGACCTTGATTTCTCGCCGTTTTTGCTCGGGCCACTTACCTTTCCATGGCATAGGTATACAGCTAACTAATTAAGAAAGGGTCTATGTTACGGGTCTTTCACTCAAGAGGCTTAGAGGGGGCCGAATGAACATAGGCAGCCAGGTAGGCTCGAAGATGTTAACTGTAGAGGGCTAGCATATACGAACTTGTAAACGAACTTTCATGGCTAATAGGTATGTAGTAATTTACCCTAACTACGAGTCATATACTACAACTTGTGGGTATGCAGGCTGCAGCTAACATACCCGCACTATTCATGCAACAAACAGCCGCCCCTAATAAGCTCCATAAGACGATCCCAAGCAGAGAGGTACCCAACGAGTCTCCCCGAGAATAGTTGCCTCCCTTGTCACTAACCTCTGCGATTATACGGCTTCTGACGTAGCCGGTCGATGCATCAACTGAGCAGTTGTAATAAAAGCTTAGGGAGGAGTACACAAGTTTGGACATACATTAATTCAGCCTCACTTGCCGCACAGTACACGGCGGTATAACACAGGAGGACTGGTTCGTTGCATTGGCTTGGGGAGTAAATTCAGCCCAATGCTTGGCTTCTTCCACAAGATCTGGGTTCTGTACTTGATATGCGAGAGGCAAAATAAGAACTTAACTTCGGAGCTCTAGTCGGGCTGTGCCACATTGGTCAAGTGTAACGGACAGGTATCGCAGGGTGACCGTTCATCTCCACCGATATCCTTCGTCGTCTCAGCGTATAAATGGTTGCGATTGATGGATATTCTTAAGATAACAGCGCTTTTTGCATTCGTCGGAATGTGCAAAAATAAACATTGTAAGAGGTCTGACCCGGGTTCGAACCGGGGCTGCTTGGAATTTCTTCTCAAAACCAAGAGTCCTAACCACTAGACCATCAGGCCGCTTCCGTGTTGACCGGCCGCACTGTTTCGGCTTGTTAGGCTAGTTTCCAACCCTGCCTCTGCTTAGTCGCTAGTGGCGGTGACCGTCCCTGCAAGTCTTCACCGCGTTCGTGCAAAGGCCGTCCTGCTCCAATGCTGCCATCTTTCCAGCACGATAATATAAGTCTATTTGTTCCAACGCTTCATAATTTTCTTCGCCTACAAACTTCTGTAGCCGGACTCTTCTTCACTCTTCAACCCCAACCCTTGATCGATCCCCAGCCCAACCGTCGCTGGGCACCATGTACAGCGGTCGCTTCTCGTCCTTGAAGCCTCGCATCTGCGAGGTCTGCGGTCAAAAGAAGAACCTCCGCCGCTGTTCGGGATGCCAAGTCGTGTATTACTGGTGCCTAGATCACCGGGCGACCCATCGACCCAACTACAAGAGGGCATGCGTTGCAGTCAAGCGAGCGCGAGAAGCCTTCGAGTTCGAGAGCGACATTGCGCGCTCCTTCCCGCACTTCTTCTCGGAGGCGAACGGCCAGGGATAGCTTAGCCCCGACATGGATACCCGATCTTGGAGGCTTCCTTTGATGCACCCCTACATGAAGACGCGCTACTTCCTGGTGGATGCGCTGCTTGAACACTTCGGCCACAGAAACGGGCACGTAGCCGCCGTGGAAATGGCGACTGACCATCTCATGGATGTGCTTCGCAAGTTGCGCTCCGATCACACGGGCGTGTGGCAGCATGTACCGGCAGACCTCGTCCGCCTCGGGAGAGAACAGGATACGTACGACTTCATGAAATGGTACGCAACTATGCCGTTGGAACCAGACTACGACCCGGATGACTGGAGCGCACCTTTTCTCAACATTGAAAAGATGTCTCGTCTTATCACCACGGTGAAGGGCCAGGTACGAGATCTGGTACTCACCATTGACAAGCGCGACGTGTGGTACTGGCAGGTTTTCGACGAGGACACGAACGTGGTGGTGGTGCGAGCGGGGGAGAGGCCTAAATCGGGCTGGGAGGCCTTCGCCATGAATCCGGTCTATCTTGCATCCTGGCGTGTCTCGCCTGGTGCCCACCGCACGATTGTCAGCACCCATTGGCACCACTCCTTGCCATGGTTGCACCTCGATAGTTGCCATCGTCGCAAAATATCCACAGGCATTTGAGTTACGCCGGTGCTTGTCCTGCCCATATTCATAGGCAAGGGGGGCGCAGTCGCGGAAGCTTCGGCCACATAAATGACGTATACTTGCGTCGTCCCCTTCGCATTAAGTGAAATTGCGACTAAGGGGTTTTGGGCAGTGAATTTGGGCATGTTTGGAAATTGCCTATTCTGGGTTGGCGCAGTAAACAGCCGGCTCACACTGTAAGCACCGGCTGGGTCCGCCCCGTTCCGGAGCACATCGCGAGGCTTGGCCAGGCCGCCTACTCGGCCTATATAAAGGGGTCAAGGAATGAACTATCCGGTCAAATGCTAGGCAAGATTCAACTCCTTTCACAAAGCAATCCATCAGCTTCCAAGCTCCGATTTTCTCATCTTTTCTTACCCAAGATGCATTTGAAATATCTCATATACGCCGCGTTTGCCCATTGCTCTTTGGCAGCTGTTGTTTTAACCACACCTGACTCTACCCACCCGTGCATCCTCGCCGACACCAATCGTGATGGAGTCGTTGACACGGCTGATTTCCCCAACAAGTACTCTTGGTCGCAAGATCAGGGTGCGATATTCCTTCCCAACATTGGTGACACCTCCCGCCGGTGCCCAACAGTCGACCTCGCCGGAACCCCCCTCGACAACCAGGAACTAGCTTCATGCCATGATGCCTCAGGTGACCACCTGCTCACCTCGGAGCTCGCGGCGCCCTTGAAGACGGTCCCCCTCACTGGCCTACCCGATGACGCTTCCGGGAGAATATACACCGAGCCGGACTCAGCGCGTGACCGAGTCAATATCTTTTGGAGGCGGGATCTAGACTCGACCTCTGACCCGTGGAGTATCGTCGACCCACAAATGTCATTCAACAAGACCGCACTCAGCAACGGAATCGAGCTGAGAATTGTCGGCCGTGGGCTTGTGACTGACGCTACGGTGTGGAACGGCACCGTTAACGTCGTGCTTGAGACCACCGCCGGGAACAGAAGCAGCGTCGATCATGTCGCCATGAAGCAAGCGCCAGTGCTCGTCCACCACCATCTCCAAGAACCAGAGGTCGTCTTGACAACAAGAGGTGACAAGGACCTATCTCCATGGCAAGCGCGCTTCGTTGAGGCCCTCGAGGAAAACGTCGCGGAAATGCGGGATGACATTCCCGTACTGCCATTCAACGACACTATGGACATCTGGGCCCAAGATTTTCTGGAGCCGGCCTACGCAAGCATGCCCGGCCCCGACGGCCCAATCTCCCTCCGAGTCCTTCTCCGATCTGCACAGTCGACTCGCCATGCAGGGCGGCAGGTATTCGAGCAGCTAAGGGGACCTAACGTCGGAGGTTTCCAACCAGGCCGGGGCTCAGGATTCGGCTGGGAAGAGATCAATTCCGGCGGGAACATTGAAACGATCCCTCCGTACGTATCTAGGTCGGGTGTGAAGTACCCTGCCGGGAGGGTAATCACGGGGAAACACTTCGAGCTCTATCCAGCTGCCTCAATGATGACCTTTATCAAGAGCCAGGGGCTTCAGACGCCGCTAATACTCGAGGCTGGGTGGCTGGCGATCGGCCACGTCGATGAGATTGTCCAATTTCTTCCCTTCGACAATGAACTGGGATTTACGATTGCCGTGGTAGACACCACCTCCGCCCTGAAGATATTGAGAGAAGCGGCGGATAAGGGACATGGCGATTCGCCTGTCATTACGTATGACGGAGATGCCACCCCCGACGGGGCGACTTTTTTCCTTGACGAGCGTCTCCTAAACGAGACCATAGACGGCCTACTAGCTAACGACACCTTCATCGATGTCAATTCGTACGCCCAGAGACATATCGACCAAAACCTCGCGCTCTTACTAGAAGATATTCCAATCTCCGACAGCGATGTTCTTCGCATGCCGACCCTCTTCCACGACGTCACTTACCCCTGGCTCAGGACCCCAGACGGCCACCCCTCGCGTCTCAACCTCGCGCCCCCTAGAGAGAGACAGGTAATATCCCTCTTTCCAGAGTCTTTAAATGGACTTGTCCTGGGATCGGAGTATTTGGCACCCAAGCCATGGGGTCCAATAGTGGACGGAAGGGACATCATAGAAGAGGCCGTTGTCGATGTCTACGAGAAAGCTGGTATGAAGGTCAGGTTTTTGGATGACTTTATGTCGCACCATGTGCGAGGGGGTGAAGTGCATTGTGGTACCAACACACTCCGACAGACTGATGTCGCTTGGTGGGAGTAGATAACAGGTGTATGTAATTTGTCAGTTAGATTAGGTAGTGATGTGTTACTACCCACGTAACCCAAGTAACTTTGTTACCTTGTACTCAGGCTGGCCAGTACTTTCCCACAAATTCAAGTGGCTCCTTCAACCACGGAGTCGCCATGGTGTCGTTCGCATCGAACACATGGCTGCCCTTCTGAAACGTCAGGTAAAGGGGCACGTCAGGTTGCAGCGTCTTCAGTTTCGCCGCCCATTCCTCAGTTTGCTGCCACGGGAGCGCCTCATCCTCCTTAGAATGATACAAAAGAATAGGTGGCAGCGGCCCGGCGTGCTCCAATGCCCGCATGGGGTCAACCACTTCCCCGTCCTTCTCGAGGTCGCAAAACTTCCCGGCCTGTATGAGAGCTTGAAAGAGACGCATCCGCGACTCGAATGGAGCCCTTGTGCGCAGCTTCCCCTTGTCCGGACCGTTCAAAACCTCCTCGACCTCGGAATAAGGAACGAGATCCGCCCATAGAATACAGTTTAGCATTTCCTCGCTAATATTGTCCAGACGTAAGTACTTCGTCAAGTCTAGGGTGGGATACTGCAGAAAGAGAACCCGAATCTGCAGCTGCGTCATGCCCAGCAGGGCTGTCTGCACGGCTAGATACCCACCCCCGCTCTCACCCGCCACCATCAGATTCTCAGCATTGATCGTGATGTCCGGGAGCGAGATGTTGAACACACTCTGCGCGGATCCGGCTTCAATCCAATGCCAGAACGACTGGAGATCTTCCAGCACTTCCATCGCCTCGTGCTCGGGGCGGAGACGGTAGTCGGGTGTGAGGATAACTGCGCCATGCTTGAGAGCCAACTCCAGAAAGCTGGGGATTATCTCAGTAAAGCACATCCTTTATTGGGCGAGAGGTGCAACTTACAAAGGCCGCATTGAAGCCTCAGCTTCACCCTCAACCAAGCCTCCCCCGTGGAATCTCACCAACAAAGGGCGCGGACCGGGTGGTAGCTCGTTAGGTACGATGAAAAAGGTGTGGATGGGTTGGCCGTCGATGACCTTGTAAATGGTGCGGAAGGTGCGGAACTGGTCAAATAGCCGCACAGAGTTTGGATGCTGCGATCCCATGTCGACCGTGTATGGCTCCATGTTTGCTGCAGTGGTCGGCAGATTCTGAAAGTGGAGTAATTGTTTGAATTGCAAAGATATGGGGCAACGGCTAAGAGAGACACAGGGTGGAAAGGATCTTCGGAATTCGGGATTTGTGAAGCTGAAGGACGGCTTTTTAGGACGGTCTCCCTGGCCCGCTTGACCCGATATACCCGTCGCTCCGGGCCGGAACCCGGCAAGGTTGGGTGATGTTAAACCTCTTCTGGCAAGTGCCAAGCACTGTTACTACCCTATATATCCTCCAAGTAATCCCCCGAAAAAGCCCCGACCAACCTCAGAATCCTAACACAACGTTTGGTACTCGTAGTTGGTAGCAAAGTAATATACCCAAGAGGATATAAGCTAAGGGCCGAGGTCTTAGTTCCCAACCCAAGTAGCCTGTTCACCAAATCTTTGAATACTCATTGACTTATAATAAGAGGTGGGTCAAAACAGGGAGGCGCAAAGGCGGGGAGATTTTAGTGGTGG